AGCACAAAGAAGTGTTCTGAATTCCCTTTCTTCTCCAGGTTAACCACAGTTTTTATTATGGTCCATACCATATATGCATTTGCACTGTTTTCAGGATGATAAGATATTAAAATAATAGAGGCCAAGTGACCAGTGGTTAACTGTCATGTAATCGATACTCAGGTAGATGCTCAGGAAGCAGTGGACTGACCTGGATAATTATAGAGATGGTTCATAAAACAAGGAATTCCTCCCGTTTGTAGCCAGAGGAGGTCAGATGTGGCCTCCATGCCTTTTTGCTCCCTGCTGTACCAGCACTTTTCTTTCACTTCAGGCCTATGGCTGCATGTGAGTATCCTAGACTCTGCTGATTACGAAGGCCAGAACTGTCGCTCTGGGCAAGTTGGATAGATATTTAATAAAAAATGGAGTGTCATTGCCCAATAGCCTCTCTCCATCTGGCCCTGAGAATAAGGAGGGAAAAGCCTCCAAGCTGGCAGAGTGCAGGGAAGAACCAACCAACCTGCTTGCTACAAAGATCAGTATCGAGTCTCGAATGCGAACAACCTGACCTTGTTGGCAAAGTTGGCTCAACTGGCTCCCTTTCCTAAGGGCATCCTAAGAAGGGAAGCTGTTTGTCCTAATAGGAACTGACACCTGATAGGTATGGATATGCCTTTCCTGCTCACAATTCACCAACATACCCATTTGATACCAGAGGAGGTGTAGAGTAGGCGCATGTGCATGGAATCCTCTGGTCACAAATCACACAGCACCACTCAGAAGCTGTTGGCCTGACAGAGCAATGGGAAAGTTAAGGTACCAGCTCAGAGACATTCTGTCGTAAATCAACGACTTGTATATCATCCTGGGTGTGAAATAGGTAGATGAGATGGTATGGATATGAGGGTTTCCCCCACTTAGCACTCCTAGTATCCCGTCTTGGGACATTGTTCTTGTGCCTGCATCTACTTTCTGCAGGTTTATAGTTCTGCTTTCCAAAAGGGTAAATGCTTTTCAAAGGCACATGGTTGTAGTGCTCTGGAATTGTCAATTTCAGATTGCCACCTGAGCACTTTGACCCTGATCATTAGCAGATCGGGTTGCTGTTGTTACACATGGGCAGGGGGGATATGTTTGGCACCAAGTGGTTTATTGGGGTGTCTCCTGGTATTCTCTTGTCCAATGTTGATGGTAAATTGACAGCTGCTGCAGCCACAGTCTGAGAAGGGCCTGGAAACCTAGGGCTCTTCAAGAGGCAGAGCTTTCTTGAAGATGAGGATCTGGGCCATGGTACCAGGTGAGGTGGTGCTAGTTAAAGGGGAGTGAAATTTAGAATGGGTAGTGCAGGAAGAGAGTGAAAATTATCTAAGAGCTGGAGACCAGCAGCAGTAGCAAGGGTGGTCATTTGCCACCTAACATTCTTCTTATGGGATCTTGAAGGAACTTTCCTCAAACATACAAAGAAGTGGGTCTATAGTGAACCACGAAATCTCGCGCATTGAACTCTACAGAACCCCTTCTTCCCTGTGCTCTTTGGAATGGACTCAGCTGAAGAGAGTACCTTTATTGGGTCCCACCCCCTTTTGAAGGGGACAGCCTTCACAGGATAACTCATCAATCAAACCCAAACCCACACTGCCACCAAGTCAATTCAGACTCAAAGTGCTCCTTCGGAACAGGGTAGAACTGCCGCTGTAGGCTTCCAAGACTGTGACTCTTTATGGGATTAGAGAGCCTCATCTTTCTCCCAGGATCAGCTGGTGGTTTTGAATTGCTGAGCTTGCGGTTAGCAGCCCAACACACAACCACTAGGTCACTAGGGCTCCTTGTTCCAACTGAGGACAATTCGGAGGGACCATCCCAGCTTCAGGCTCCTTATGGAATTAGCTGAGATTTCCCTTAAAGGTACATTGCAGCCCACTTTCTTCCTCTGCCCAACCCAACTTCCCTCCTCCAGGTGCTGATCCAGGAGCCCTCCTCCTAAACCTCTCCAGGTTAACCTCCACCTCAGAATTGGCTTTCTGGGACACTGATTTGTGGCTATGGTTGTGTGTCATATAAAACAATGTCCTTGTGCTGGGGACATGTATGTTGAAATATTAAGGGGTTAATATTCAAGATGTTTGTAACATATTTTCAAGTTCTTATAGGGAGATTATCTATATATGTCATATATATGAGCCCTGGAAGTGCAGTGGTTACACTGGTGGTTCAAAACCACCAGCTGCTCCTCAGGAGAAAGACGGGACTTTCTACTCCCGTAAAGAGTCACAGTCTTGGAAATTCACAGAAGCAGTTCTACTCTGTGCTGTAGGGTTAATATGAGTCCATATTGACTCGGTAGCAGTAAGTTTGGTTTGGGTTTGGTGTGTGAATATACGAGTGGGCTGAAAACATTTGTGGATAATGGAATTTTTTAACGAACTTTTTGAAGCCTCTTCCTGTGTGCATAGGTATATATGTGGATATATGTGCAAAACATTTACAATTGGTGAATCTAGGTGAGGGGTATACCTGTGCTTATACAATGTTTGAAATTTTCCAAAATAAAAGTTTAAGGGCTTTTAAAAAAATGAAAACACAACAGGCAAGTGAAGAAGAGGCCAGCACAGAGATTTTAACAAGCTACCAGAAGCACTGAAGGAACATCAAGAGGGCCGGTATTGTGAAATTCAAGGTTCAAGAAGGCTTAAAAATTAAGATAGTGTAGGCGAGGCTGAAACGTACCTATAGATTTACTATTTTTTAAAGTCCCTGATCATCTTGAGGACAAAAGTGGCAGTGAAGTACATATTATAGGTCACCTAGCACCTTTCTGCTTCTCGACAGCAGTGGTTCTCAACCTTCCTAAAGCCGCGACTGTGACCCTTTAATACAGTTTTTCATGTTGTGGTGACCCCAAACCATAAAATTATTTTCATTGCTACTTCATAACTGCAATTTTGCTACTGTTATGAATTGGGCGACCCCTGTGAAAAAGTCGTTCGACCCCCAAAGGGCGACCCACAGGTTGAGAACTGCTGTTCTACAGCTTGCCATTTAGTTAAAGAAGCATATATGGGATAAACACTGGACTGCTAACCACTAGGTAAGTGGTTCAAACTCACTAGCTATCCTGTAGGCAAAAGATGAGTCTGTCTGTTCCGAAAAAGATTTTAGGATCAGAAATCCTATGGGGCAGCTCTACCTGTTGCTACAGTCAGAAATGACACGATGGCAGTGAGTTTTGGTTTGAATTTAAATTTTTTTAAATTGAAAACCCATTGTATTCAGAAGTTCTGAGACAGTCTTTGTAAGAGGAATATAAGAGCCTCCCAGAAACTCACAATTTCTTGGGAGAGGCACACAAATTCAAAAACTAAAGGCACAGTCCAAGTATATTGGAGAAGCCCTGGTGGCATAGTGGAGGTGGGATGCTGACCCCAAGGCCTGCAGTTCCAGATCCCCAGTGGCTGAGGGGGAAAGCTGAGGTTTTCTATTCCCGTAGTTACATTCTCAGAAACCCACAAGAGTAGTTCTATAGCGGCGCTCTGACTCAGAATCCACTCGATGGCAGTGACTGAGAGATTCAATAACAGAGAAGCTAACAGAGGGATGAGATTTGAGAAGAGATGAAGAGAGAGGTCACTTCAGAAACTTGAGCTCCACCCACTCCCATCTGGTTTTACCCTATAGTTCGTTTGGATTGTAAATTCTAATTTTTTAAATGTGTTCCCAATACTTTAAGAAACCGAGCTATTTATCCTAAATCCAGATATCTTGCAACTTGGAAAGCTCTAGCAACACGACGCTGGAGCTAAAAAAGACTATGGAGTAGCCGAGTTCGTCATGCTCTGGGCCCACTCAGTTTAGCTATTTGTTAGGTCACTGGAGGCAACTAACTAGTTTCTCGTTCCCTTGCCAAATCAGTGACCCCAACCAAAACCATACTGCCATCAAGTTGATCCTGACTCATAACGGCCCTACAGCTCAAGGTAGTACTGCCCCTGTCAGTTCCCTGACTGTAATTGTTTATGGCAGTAGAAAGCGCAGTCTTTCTCCCGCGGAGCTGCTGTGGTTTTGAACTACCGACCATGTTAAGTATCACAACCTAACGCGTAAACCACTTAAACCGCCAGGGCTCCTAATCAGTGATTTAGAGGTAGGCAAACGGTCAACTGTAGCCTACTGACAGGTCGACTGTGTTTTGTAAATAATTATTGAAACCAAGGCTGGGATTAGGTAAGTGAGGCAGGATCGTACTTTGAATGCAGGGTCAATTTCTCTATTTAAAATGCTAGCATTTTGGGTTAACATGGGGTACCCGCCGGGTTAAATTGGAATGAAAACACTGTATTCAATATTAAATTGCTCGTGGCTACTGAGTTTTATTAACTCTTTAAATTATGCACTCCCCCACCTCTTCTCTAACCTATTCTTAAACGCTTTGAATGAGGCGGAACAATTTGCACTTTACACCATTGGAAACAGCTCAACTTTTCAAACAGAAGCAAGGATGGATCAGATCTGTTTCATAGCTTGGGTTTTCTCTCCCCCAAGCCTCAGCCTCTCATTTTTCTCTAAAACCTAACATCACTTCAATCTTATATCACATCTCTTTCTTTTGCACGTAAAATACAGCCGCTTTCCTCTACCTTCTACTCTACGAAAGCTCTCCCCTGAAAATGCCTCCGTCGCCTGCCTTCGCAGGGGGCGCAACCTCTCCGGGAGCTCCTTACAGCCGTTTCCGGCAGCGCTCTAGGCCGAAGAGTTGATACCAAAACGATCGAGCTGGGCAAATGGGGGCGGAGCGCTTTCTCATCGATACGATCAGTACTTATCTAGTGCTGCCCGCCCCGGCGACAGTCCAACCGGAGGCGGAGCGAGTCCAAAATGGCGACTCTCAGGCTGGCGCGCTCCGTGTTGCTGAGGGTTTGAGGTGGTCGCCAGGGGTCGGGGGGGACGATTTCCCCGCCACGGGGGCCCTGGAGGATGAATCGGGGGCTCTGCTAAGGGTAGGCGGTGGGGGTGGAGAGAAGTGGCAGCAAGGGCTGCAGTGGAGTCAACGGAGCGGGATGTGCGAGAGTTACTCCAGGTCGTTGTTGAGGGTCTCGGTGGCGCAGATCTGCCAGGCGCTGGGCTGGGACTCGGTGCAACTCAGCGCCTGCCACCTCCTCACGGACGTGCTGCAACGCTATCTGCAGCAGTTGGGACGGGGCTGCCATCGGTACTCTGAGCTCTGTGAGTACCGGGCTGGGTGAGGGAGGATTGCCACTGGCAAATCGCGAGTGACACCTTCAGTTTCCCCTTCTCTAGCTCATCACCGGTGGGAGTTTTCAGGGCTTCACCCCTGCCCTGAAATCTGGTAGCTCCTCGGCCTCCACTCTCCTTCGCTTCCACTCACCTCCGAAACTCTAGTCATCCTCCCGGAGACTCTTCCTCATCCGCTAACTTCCCGCCACCAGTCTGAAGCCTGGTCACCAATCCCAGCCTCTTTCTTACGGCGTCCCTGTCCTCTGGTGCGCACCGAGTTTCCTTATTGTCTTATATCTGGGGCATGGAGAATCATCCTCGGACGCTCTGTACGCGCTTTTACCTTGGTCTTTTCCCGTCCTCGCCCGCAAACTATTACAACTAGTTGTCACAGGCGCTCCGTCTACCGGCCGTTTCCTACGAGCCTGGCTGCTCTTTAGTTCACAACACAACTCATGACAGCTCTGCTCCGGCGGAGACCCTGCCTTTTCCTTTCATCTCTGTTATTTCGTAGACTGCATGTGTGCTCACCGTTTCTCAGGTTCGGCTTGGCTGTTTCACGGAATCGTTTAACTTTCATTTACATCGCAGCCACCCATTGACTTTCCCCTTTATATTTCTGTCTTAGTAGTTATCACTGTGTGGTATAGGGATCATAGCAATTTAGGTGGGTTCTCTAACTACTGTGAGCCCCCGTGTTTAATGTTTCTAAGTGAATATCCGGTAGTGTTAATACCTCATAGTGCGGAATGCTTAATAAACGTCTCCTGCCTCACTGACATAAATAAAGGTCACGATTTTTACAACGGCAAGCTGGAGAGCTGGATGAAATGTTTCATAGGGTATTTTGCTTTATTAAGATAGTTCCTAGATCTCATATGACCTGCTCTCAATTCTGCGTGCATCTCTGTTATTTGTGACCCTGCTTTGTAATTATCTGTGCATGTCTCTCACCCGTGTTCTATTCATTCTTATTCCCAGGAGGCTCTTGAACCCTTTCAATCATATTTCTATTCAATAACCTAGTATGAAAGCCATAACCTGATTGCCATCCTGATTAAGTGAAAGAACTGATAACCCACTATCATAATAGCTACCGACTTTGCCTTTTGGGCTCCTGATGTGTATCGTTTGTGAATCCTTGGTGTCACTGATGCTTTGCATTCCAAATTTAGATCAGAAACCCTAAGAGCTTAGTACTGAAACCCTGACAGCACAGTCCTCTGTTGGCTTTTGCTTCCCTCTCCCTGTCCATCTTTTCAAGTATACGTACCCGTTACAGGCTATGTGTGGTCCAAGTTACAGTTGCTACCACAGTCCTTAAAAAGGACAGAGCTTCTAGGTAATAAAATCCCCCGAATGCATCATTACCTTTTCTGCCTTCTATCCAAATATGTGTTGTCACTTTCATATAGTCAAAGTAATCATTGTTATGTGTTATTATGAACCCTTTTCCTAATGACCCAATTTCTTTGGTCAATTTTATGAATTATAGTGAGAACACGGTTATCAGGTTTGTTATTCCCCATCAAGGTTTGGTGAGGTTTCCTCCACCCCAACCCCCATCCCGCCATGCTGCTATAATTAATGACTTTTTTTTCTTCTTTAAATGTTTTTTTCCTCAAGGTAAATTCAAGTATTAAAAGTGATTGTTAATTTGCCACATAATGAGTTTGTCAGTTTCTCTAAGGTAATGATTCCTGTAAGCATTCAGAGACAGATGTTTCGGTATATGTTGCATTATGTGCTAAGTATGGGTGCATGTATTGAAAACAGGTGCTAAATCTTTCAGAATGACTCTTTAGGTTTAGTAAGCTTAACATTTTAATTATAGAGAAAGTGAACGCAAAAGCAATATGATAAAGCAAAGATGGTTGGGACTGTGGGTTCTGGGGAGGATTAAGTCACAGAAGAGAAGAGACTTCAGTTGAACAATGAAGTACGGTTTATGAAGGTGAAACGTAGAGCAGGCTAGAGAGCACCATAAACTAAAATATAAAAGAAGGAGCTCTGTTTGCATAGTAGGTTATGTGTTGGGCTGCTATCCACATGGTTAGCGGCTCAAACCCACCAACTGCTGGGAGAAAGATGAAACTCTCTGTTCCCATTAAGATTTACAGCCCTGGAAGCTCACAGGGGCAGTTCTACCCTGCCCTGTTGGGTCACTCTGAGTCAGAATCAACTCGATGGCAGTGCATTTGAGAAAAGATATAAAAGTAGGCTCAACCAGGAAAGTAACCAGCTTGAAGAGAGGTTGGATCGATTGAAGGGTGATAGAAGAAAAGGTTGAGCAGGACTTAAAAGCTAGCAAGGGAATTAGATATAGCATGTGCTGGTGGTGATTAGCTGCTGTCTAGTAGACCATCAGACCAAGGACACCCTTATGTACAATGAGACAAAACACTGCCCAGTCCTGTGCCCAGTCCTTGCACTGGTTGTGGATTAGACCATTGATTGATTTTTGGAAGAAGATCACCAGGTCTTTCTAATCCATTTTATTATAGAAGTTCTACTGAGATCTGCCTAGCGTCATAGCAAGGTGCCAGTCTCCAGTGACAAGCAGACCCACGTGAAGTACGTTGCTCATGAGATGAACCTATGCCTCCTGCATGGAATGCAATAATTCTACCACTGCACCACAAGTATCATCTCATAAAATACATAGGGGAGATAGGGAGACATACTCCTGAAGAGAGAAACAGTCTGATGAATGTGGTGTTTTAAGAAACTTGTACTGGTAGTGAAGGTAGAGAGAGTTAAGTGGAGAAGACTTGTAACTATACTGAGATGGTGATAGTAGGAACAGAGAGGGAAAACAAAACAAAAACCGACCTGAACCTGAAATCCATGGCAAAAAAGGGAAAACAAACTGCCAGGAGCTCTTGGATTGCAATTGCAACATTTTAGGAGGAAGTAAAGATAAGTTAAAAAACAAACAAAACAGAAATAAAAATGCTCATAACAAGGAACACTCATTCACTGCCACTGAGCTGATTCTGACTCACAGTGACCCTATCGGACAGTCACACTGTCCCTATGGGTTTCCGAGGCTGTAAATCTTTTTTTTTATTTTTTTTTAAAAGATTTATGCATTTTATTGTATACAAGTTACCCACCCATAGAATAAAACAAAGTAGAGCTCTCTTTCTCATTGACTTTATGGACATGATTTTTAATCCAAATTATTCTTTTTTGGCTAACTTTCACTGTTAGAAACTAAAAGTTGCCAAATGTCTACTTCTTTGTTTGTTTTTTTTAAATCATTTTATTGGGGGCTCGTGCAACTCTTCTCACCATCCATCCATCCATTGTGTCAGAGACATTTGTACATTTGCTGCCATCATCATTCTCAAAACATTTTCTTTCTACTAGAGCCCTTGCTATCAGCTCCTCTTTTCCCCCACTCCCTCCCTTATGACCGCTTGATAATTTAGAAATTATTATTATTTTTTCATATCTTAAACACTGACGATGTCTCCCTTCACCCATTTTTCTGTTGTCCATCCTCCTGGGAAAGGGTCATATATAGGTCATTGTGATCGGTTCCCCCTTTCTCCCCCCACCTTCCCCTTCCCCTCCTGGGAGGCTGTAAATCTTTGTGGAACAGACAGCCCCATCTTTCTCTCACAGAGTAGCTGGACCTTGTGGGTAGCAGCCTGACAGGTTGCCCACTATGCCCCCAGAGCTCCTTGGCAAGGGCCACTCACTGTCATTGCGCCAAGAGGGCCTCATAGTGACTCTATAGGACAGAGGAGAACTGCCCCGGTGGGTTTCGGAGGCTGTAAATCTTTATGAGAGTAGAAAGCTTCATCTTTAGGTATTGGTAAAATACCCCTTTGGAAAGAAAACCTCAACTATTTATAATTTTGTGTCTAGGTATTAACATACCAATTTAACCATTTAAATGGCATCTTCTACTTAACATTTTAAGATTACATGTAAATTACTTTTATGGTCTAAGTCCGTCCTTATAAATTTTCTTAGATTAAAAAAAAAATCATGTAGTGGTATATAATTCATTTAACACTGATTGAATGACAGCTATATGCCAGCCACTGTTTTAGGTGCCAGGGATACATCTGTGATTAAACAGAGAAAATGTAGTGGACGTAGTCAACGGAACATCTGAGTTGCTTGATAGTAAACATAGTACCAGTAATAGTTATTGAGGATTTACTCTATGTAAGCCACTGTTCCAGATGCTTTTGACTGTCAATAAACTACTTTTGATATTTGTTCCAAACTAGCTGACTTTTAGTATGGATTTTCTGTCTTGTTCTGTTTTGGTTGTCAACCATATTTAAAATTGTCTTTAGTAATCAGCTTTCCAACTTATTTAACTGACATGATGTTCTATTTAAAAATCAATTAAAAGTTCTTCCTAATAAATCTTACATGTATAGTATATTTGATCCTAAACTGTATATTTACATAGTCCCTTTTTCCTTAATATTTAAAAAGAATTCCTGAGATTTTCAGGAGAGTAATTTTATGTGCTTTTGACATTGTTTCAGATGGCCGAACAGACCCAATTTTGGATGATGTTGGTGAAGCTTTCCAGCTGATGGGAGTTAACCTTCATGAACTAGAAGACTATATTCACAATATTGAACCTGTCACGTTCCCACATCAAATTCCTTCATTTCCTGTTAGCAAGAATAATGTACTTCAGTTTCCTCAACCTGGAAGTAAAGATGCAGAAGAAAGGAAGGAGTACATTCCCGACTACCTGCCACCCATCGTGTCTTCTCAGGAAGGTTTGTGACTTTTTGTGTGTTTGTTCATTTGTTTCTCACTCACTTTTTTTCCCCCCTCATTTATTTGTGACTCTTTTTTTGGCTCATTAATTTTCTTTGCTTTCCTAACTGAATTTTAAAATGCTATGTCAACATATAAACTCTAGAAATGCAATAAAAATATTTTAGTGTTATTTACAAATTATCCTAACTCCAAACCGACAGACGTAACCACTGATACCACAGGCGGAATCATGCACAACAAAGTTATGTCTAATGAACTACGTTTCTCCTTTGTACCTTTTAAGTCGAGGAGAACAGAATGCGACACAGAGAGAAGCCTTGAAGTAGACATAATATGAGAGTGGGCTATTAAATACATTAGAAATATTTTGAAATATAAAGAAATGTGGAGTTCTTATCTTTCTCCTTTTACTATTCACGTGAATGGTACTCTTGCTTCCTACTGAGAACAGTGGATTGTTTTGAACATTCTTTAAAATGCAGATTCATCTCCCCTTTTATATGATGAGTAGAGATAAATTATGCTCAGTGTGATAGAATTTGTGATTGTAAAACAATAACTCCTTCGGCACAATGGGATGCCATTGCAGTGTTTCTTTTTCACTGCATGATTTTGCATGCTGATCACTTAGGTTCACTAAGATGCCAAAGAGATCCATAAATAATGTGTAATCCTAATGCACATATATTTTCGTGTTTGAAAAAAGAAAACAATGCAAAAACTTGAGAAGTTGCAATTCATGTCTTAGAATTTGCTGTCACTTTAGTAGCATTATAAAATGTTGCCTATTAGTTTCCTGGACTAGGTTTAGAATTAGAATTTTTTTCCCCTACAATCTTTGTGTTAATGTCTCATGTGAAAAACTGGGAAAACATTGAACTGAAGTTATAGGAATTTATTGTAGGTTGGTGGATTGTCAGCGACACTTGTACCTTGGATACAGTGGACGCTACTAAGTAGTACTCAGGGAGTAACTTATTGTGCTGAAATTCAAGTACCACATCTGGCTTATTAACAGCCATGAAAAATGTGGAAAGAGATTGCTTTAACTTTTTGGAGAGTTATGGTTTTCTGGCTTCAACCTCTTGAGAAATAGACTTTATTGACAGCGTAACACTTCACTACTTGTAAATTCTTGAAGATTTAATACTGGCTAAAAAAACCTGGATGCAGCAATCTGTAGCCCCCGGGCCTAGGACAGTGCTCTTTTCAAAGCATGCCTGTAATAGATGCTCTTGAACTTAGTTAAATAATGCTTTATTTGTAGGGTCTTGACTACAGAAGTTCCTTATTTTTCCTCCTTTCCAGGTCTACTGATATTATTAACAGCCAGGAGTTGGGAGTCTACAGATGCACTTCAGTCATTTCCAACTTCCTTTAGTAATTGCTCTAAACTCTATATTACCCCTCTATCGAATTTATTTGTATTTGCAACCTATCATTATTTTTTAGCAAATTTTACTGTTTACAACCTCTTGTATAAAGTAGCCCTATGTCAATTCCATATTCCTTAATGTCAGTGTTTATAATCTTCTCCAAAACCAAATCAAACACATTGCTATCCAGTATATTCCAAGTCATAGCAATCCTGTAAGACAGAGGGGCGCTTCTCCATAGGGTTTCCAGCTGTAACCTTCATGAAAGCAGACTGCCTCGTCTTTCTCCAGCGGAGTGGTTGGTGACTTCAAACCACCAACCTTTTGGTTAGCAGCTAAGTACTTGACTACTGTGCCACCAGGGCCCCTGCTTTCTTATCTTAGAAACCTACATTTGTTACAACTTCTGTAAACATTTTTACTTCCTTTCCAAATAGAACAGAGGCCTTTAAGTATCAGCCTTCTCAAAAGAGGATTTCATGGCAGAAGCCTGATCACAGCTGGATTGGAAATGAGTCTTTTCTTCGGCAGAACCCACTGCCACCAAATTGAATCCAACTTGTAAGGACCGTATGGGACAGAGTCGAATTGTCCTTTTCATTTCCTAGACTTTAGATCTTTATGCGAACAAACAGCTTTGTCCCACAGGGTGACTGATGGCTTAGAAGCACTGACCCTGCAGTTAGCAACTCAATGAGCATTGCTGATAGAGAGGAAATTAATTTTATTCCCATAGTCCTAGAATGCTTTTATTGCTATTGTCAGTAAATATGATTTATTAAGCATCCTAGAAATCTTCATGAGAGGCCACCCAATGCCACTGAGTTGATTCCAACTCATAGCAACACTGCTGCATAGACAGACCTGCTCCTTAGGGTCTCTGAGTCTGTGAATCTCAATGAAAGCAAGCAGCTTCATCGTCAGTGGACACAGCCTAAGTACTTCTCGGTGGATGAATGGATGAAGAAATTGTGGTATATACACAATGAAATACTACTCAACAATAAGGAATAATGATGAAATGTGAAACATCAGAACATGGTGAACCTGGAGAGCGTTGTGCTGAGTGAAATATGGCAGTCACCAAAAGACAAGTATCTGCTATCAAAAGACAAGAAAAGGTTTACACACAGAAACATCCTTTGATGATTACCAGGAATAAGAGAATGTGGGAAGAAAAATCACCATATTAGTAGCATGCTAACTTTGGTGATGGACAAGAGACTATAAAATATGAGGAACATCAGCACAACATAACCAAGGCATAGGAAGACACTGAGAGGTACAGAAGTGTAAAAGTCAGTAATGGTAAAGGCTTCCTATTAAGAATACAATCCTGCAACAGCAGTAATAACAAACAGTAGTATATCCAATGGATACACCAGTAATATAAGCTGCAAAGGGGTAGGAAGGCATATGGGAATAGACTCATATGCACATATTGGTTGGCAGCAGATATTCCTACATAGATATTTGGACATGCCGCAAGTAAACTGATGTAGCTAGTAGAATGCTTAGAGTAGGGGTCCTCAAACTACGGCCCACTGGCCACATGCGGCCCGCTGAGGACATTTTTCTGACTCGTCCAGTGTGCATAGGAATTTGTTCATAGTTCTTTTTTAAGCCATAGTCCGGCCCTCCAATGGTCTGAGGGACAGTGAACTGGCCCCTGTTTAAAAAGTTTGAGGACCCCTGCCTTAGAAGCAGTCATACAATTCTCTTTGCCATAACCGGATACCTCTGGCGATTGAGATACTGGGTTTGAGGGTTCAGGACTGTAGTCTCAGGGACATCTAGATAAATTGGCAAAATATAGTCCATAAATACAATATTCTTTATACAACTATAGTGTGTAGCGACAGGAGTCTTAAAAGCTTGTGAGTGGCCACCTTTATTTACAACTATAGGTCTCTTTCTGCCTGGAGCAGACAAGAGTGGAGAAAACCAGAGGCTCCAGGAACCATTTAGTCCAAGGCATTATGAGTCACATGAACCACAGCCTCCATTCATCCTCCTGGGATCAGAAGAACTAGGTGATGCCCTCTGACTGCTCTGATCAGGATCATAATAGAAGGTACTGGAGAGAGTGAGAGAAAAGGGTAGAACAAAATTCAAATTCCTATGAAAGACCAGACTTATGCGTCTCTGACTGTCACCCTTACACACCCTTCTAATTTAGAACTATAGTTACTTCCCAGAATCACCTTTCAACTACATAAAGCAAACAGTAATACCTGGGAGGAACACGCCCCTCAGAACAAGCAACAACTATACAAGACCACAAAGACAGCAACTGGTGTCAGAGCAATCTGTGTATAAACTGTGAACTGGGAAGCAGATGATCTGGCTTTGTCAAGTTAGCTAAACTACAATAAAATATATGTTTCTAAAAAAAACCAAAAACAATTCATAGATGATGAAACGCTTAAGATTTCGTGCCCAAAGATGTCTTCTATTAGACCTTCTATTAAAGAGTTGAATGGGTTAATTGTGTTATTTCTTGTTTAAAAAAAAAATTTTTTTTAGTTGAGAATCAGAAATTGGTTTTGTCTTAATCTTTGCTTCAAGAATACTTTGATCATTGATTGATCCATATGTGACCAGTATTTATTTATTTACTCAATTATTTCATTCGCTTTTTCCTAGAAGCCCTAACAAGCACACTCGCCCAAATCAAAGCTGATAATCTACATTTAACCATTTGGTCTCTCTTACTTATTTTTATAGAATGAAAATAATACACAAAACTTCTCTAAAGATATCACAGTTGCAAACTGCCAAGGAAACATAAGAGTTCAGAGTTATGGGATAGTTAAGAAATATAAAGCAATAAATGTATTATTTTTTTTTTAGATACGGATTTTTATCTGAAATTACTGGGTTTTTCTTCTGGATTGTTTAACATAAAAGAAGGCTCTTACTTTGTTTGAAGTTTTATGTTACTTGGTCTAAAATATTTTCCTGAGGGAGAAAAGTAAATATTATTGCATCATATTTACCAACATCCCCTTGACACATTTAGTAGAGTCTAATACTATTACTTTTGGGATGTCTACTTTTATTGTTTTTTGTGTTTATTATAAATAAACTTGCTTCATCAGTACAATGTTAGAGTTACATAAAACTTGAGAGGTCTCTTAAACCCCGTTCTCCCTATTGTTAACAGCTTACATTAATGTCCATTTGTTCCAGTTAAGGAATCAATGGTGATATATTATAATCGACTGAAGTCTGTATTAAGAGTCCCTTAGCTTTATCTGATGTCCTTTTACTGTCCCTGGCTCCTATCCAGGATACCACATCATATTTAATTATCATGGCACCTTATGCCCCTCTTGGTTGTGACAGTCTTGATGGACAGTTTTGAGTATTCTGGGCCTAATATATTATAGGATGTACCTCCATTGAACTAAGTCTGATTTTCTCATGATTACACTGAAGTTATGGGTTTTTCAGGAAGAAGACCACAGAGTTATCATTTTTATCATGTCAAGTCAATTCTGACTCACAGTGACCCACTAGAGAGAGGAGAATTGTTCCTTAGGGGTTTCAAGACTAAATCTCTGTGGGAGCAGGCCACCTGATCTTTTTCTCAAGGATTGATTGGTGGATTTGAACTA